CTTTTGATTTTTTTTTGTTCAATGTTCTTGTTGGTTTTCTTCTCATTGATTTCCTTAGTTTTTCTTTTTTTTTTACGTTGGTATATTCTCGTTGGTTTTCTGGTTGTATTTTTTTTTGTTTTTTTTTTTTCCCAATGTTGTTTGTCTTTTTCTTTTTATTTTTCTTCTTAGATCTTGGTTTCTTTTTTTTTGTTTATGTATTTTTGTTTTATAAATTTTTTTTTTATTTCCTTTTTAAGTTTTTGTTTTCTCGAGAATTTCCTCAGTGCGTTTTTTTTTTTCACCTATTTGAAGTTCATGTAATCGCGTTGGTTTTCCTTTGGTTGTATGTTGTTTTCTACCAGAGCGAGTTTGTTTCTTCAGTCTTTCGTTTCTCTGTGGTTATTTTTTTGTTTTCTACCAGAGCGAGTTTGTTTCTTCAGTCTTTCGTTTCCCTGTGGTTAGTTTTTTGTTTTCTACCAGAGCGAGTTTGTTTCCTCCGTCTTTCGTTTGCCTTTGCATGCCATGTTCATATGATCCCTGTTGTTACATTTTCTTCTTGTGGTGAGAGTTGTGGGTATGTATCTTTGCGTTGTTTTCTTCTGTAGTTGGTTTTCTTCTGCTGCTTCCCTTTTGTTGATTCTTGTTTTCCGTTGATTTTCTTCTGTGTTGGTTTTCTTCTGCTGATTTCCTTTTGTTGATTCTTGTTTTCTGTTGATTTTTTTCTGTGTTGGTTTTTCTGTATTCTGTTGATTTTCTTCGCCTGGTTTCCTTTTGTTGATTCCTCTTTTCTGTTGATTTTTCTTCTGTGTTGGTTTTTCTGTTTTCTGTTGATTTTTTTTATTTGTTGATTTTCTTCTGTTGATATTTTTTTTCCCTGTTTGTTTTTTCTCCAATGTTATTTTCTCTTTGTATTCTTTTTTTTTGTTTTCTTCGTGTTTTTTTGTGTTTTTTTTTTTTTGTTTAATATTCTTGTATTCTCGTTGGTTTTCTTGCTTGTTGATGATCTTCTATTGATTTTTTTTGTTGATGTTTTCCTGCTAATGTTCTTCTGTTGTTTTTTTGTTCGTTGAATTCCTTGACTTCGTTGACGTGCGCCCTCTTGGTGGATGATCCGTCTAGGCTCTGTACTGTTATGATAACTGGTGACTCATAACCCATGATTCGATAGGGTCCGTCAAATTTGGAGGCCAGCTTCGTGGTGAAGCTTTCCGCTGCGTTGGACAGGTAGTGCGATTTGATCCACAACTTTTTGCCAATCTCGGGCGACCAGTCGCGTCTCCTTAGGTTGTAGTGTATCGCCTGCTCTTGGCTCGCTTTCCGCATGTGCCTTCCAGCGATGTCGCATAGTTCGTTTATGCGCCTGCCCTCCTCCTCGGGCGTTTCTTCGGCGGTGCAGGTTCCTAGCATACCTTCGTCGTAGAGCGCACGTGGCAAACGTGGCTCGCGGCCCATGTTGAGGTAGCAGGCTGAGTATCCTGTAGAGTCGGCAACGCTGCTGTTGATAGCCAGGGTAATTTCGGGGATCAAAGAGTCCCAGTGCCGTTGATCTCGGCCCGTGTATTGCGCTATCATCGTCTTGATGGTGCGGTTCATCCTTTCGGTCGGGTGAGTTGCTGGCGTGTGCCCATTTGCTCTAAGAATTGCTTGAACTGCCGGCTGATGAACTGCGTTCCGTTGTCGGTGATTAGTATCTTTGGGGACCCGAGTCGGGCAAGGATTCGCTCTCTGAAAGCCTTTACTAGCGTGTTGGCGGTGGCCTGCCGCAGCGGCACGATCTCGCACCATTTGGTAAATTTGTCAACCAGGACTAGGGCCATGTTGCAACCGGTGGTTGAGCGGGGTAGGGGTCCTACGGAATCGGCACTCACAGTGCACCAAGGCCCCTCCAGTACTCGCGTCATCATCATCCCTGCTGGTTTCTGCAGGCTTACCTTGTACCGCTGGAAAATGAGGGTCCCCGCTTTGCGGATTCCTAGGTGGCCGGCCGTTGGGGCATCATTGTTCTCGAATAGTACTCGTTTCCTGTCCTCCCTTGGGACGCACAGCTTCCATGGATTTTCGTTCTCGTCGCAGATTGCAGGCGGCGTAAGGCGATATAGTTTGTTGTCGATGATCGTGAAGTCCGGGTGTTTCGCGGGTGCCGTTACAACTCGTTGCAGCTTCTTGGTCAGTCATGAACATTGGGTAGTCGCGGAGCACGCTCAATGTAACTCCTCCGACCCCTCCTCGGGTTGCCGCGACACGGTGTCCGCAACGACGTTATATTTCCCCTTCCTGTATTCGATCTCGTAGGAGGATTGTTGTAACTCGAGGGCCCAGCGGGCGACACGTCCGGTGGGGTTCTCCATTGAATTGAGCCATTTGAACGCTTGGTGATCGGTGGTGATTCTGAAGTGGTAACCCTCCACTTAGGGTCTAAATTTCCTGACCCCCCATACTATGGCCAGGCACTCTTTCTCCGTGGCTGAGTAGTTAGTTTCTGCTCCGCGCAGCCGCCTGCTCGCATACGCGATTACTCGTTCGGCACCCTCTTGCTCCTGGGTTAAGACGGCCCCTAACCCAACGTTGGTCGCATCTGTCTGGATAGTGAACTGCGGGCTGAAATCTGGGCAGGCCAGCACGGGGGCTTCGGTGAGTTTCTGCTTCAGCTTGTTGAACGCCTTTTGCTGGTGCTCACCCCACACCCAGCGAGTTTTTTTCTTCAGCAGTTGGCTCAAGGGGTGGATCGTTTTTGTGGGTCGTGATGATGCCGCTTGCGGTGCCTAGGTGTCCCAGATATTGTAGTTCCTTTTGGAAGCACTTGCACTTCTCTTTATTCACTGCTAGGTTTGCGTTTCGGAGACGCTCAAACACCCTTTGCAGGTGTTGTTGGTGCTCACTGGCACTTTTGCTTATGACGATTATGTCGTCCAAATAGGCGAAGGCGAAGGGTCCTTCTCGGGCCCGATGACGCTGTCGAGTGCTCGTTGAAAGGTTGCTGGCGCTGAGTGGAGGCCGAACGGCATGACTCGCCACTGGTACAAACCCCGGCCTGGTACGGTGAATGCTGTATATTTTTTACAACTCGGGTGGATTGGAATCTGCCAGTACCCATTCTTCAAGGCGATCGTGTTAATGCACCTGGCCTGGCGCAGCTTGTCCAAGATCTGCTCTATACGAGGGAGCGGGTGGGCATCTAGGATCGATCGACTGTTTAGCACTCTGTAGTCCATGCATAGCCTTCATTCTTTGTTGCGCTTAGGTACGAGCACGATTGGTGCGCTGTACGCGCTGTTGGACGGATCTATGCATCCTGCTTCGATTAGTTTATCGACTTCTCGGTCAATGATGGCTTGCATCGCCGGATTTTTCTTGTGATAGCGGAGCTTTATGGGGATTTCATCCTTCATTCGTATGTAGTGATACGTAATGTTGGACACCTTGGAACTGCAGAATTTACCTAATTCTTCCTGGATGAATTGTTGGATTTTTGCTTCAGATTCAGCGTTTATCGTTGGGGGGTCGATTGGTGCCTTGTGCTCCTTAAGTACCTGCTGTGAGCCTGCCTGTCGGTGGGTGGCTGATCGGTTGGCGCTTAGTTGTTGCGTGGCTTTGCCGCTGCCTGTCGTCTGGATTACCGTTGGCCATCTCCGGGGGCCGTTCGCCGGGTGGGGGGTAATGGATGTGCCTAACATTAGAATTTTCCCTGTCGATGGGGGGGTGTCCGCTCGACGGCCTAGTTTGATGACCTCGTCGGCGATGGCCACCACCGTGCCTATTTCGGCTAGGAAATCTATCCCCAAGGTGAGATGGTCGACGCCCCTTTTCACCACCAATAGTTCAAGCGTTGCAGCCTTGACGCCTAACCTTATTTTCACCGTTATGGTTCGTAGACTATTTTGGACCGTACCATCTGCCATTCGGATTGAGTGGCTCTTCGTGTCTGACCTTATTACTCAGGGGATGCAACCAGCGGCGTCTTCGCGGATGATACTTCTCGTTGCTCCCGTGTCGATCACACCGGTCGTGGGTAGTCCTCCTACCGAGAGGGAGGCTACCAGAGTGCTGCCGCGCATTCCCAGTACTTTTGAGGTTGCTGCTGTCGGTGGTTTCTCTACGCCAGGTGTTTCCTTCGCTGTCATGTCTGTAGGGTAGGAACAGTTCATTGGAGTTTTCCCTACCTCTCGAGCGCTGCACTTTTCTTCTGGCTTTCAAGCAGTTCGCTCTTAGGGACGCTATCTCTTCGGTCCACCAATGGCACGCAGACCCTCTTCTCCGTGTATTTCGTCTTCGGGGCATTGCGGCGTCGCATGCTTGTACCAGCAACTTTGCTATGTTTTGCCGGAGTTTACCAGCTGTACCGTCTCCAACCACATAGGAGTCCATAATGGTGTTAAAAACATCCTCATCAAAAAGTGCATCTCTCCACCTCGGCCCGGTAGTTTTCCACCTATTACCTCTGTCCTCTCCAGATGCTATGTCGAGGAAGATGGCCTGGTGATCGATATTTGTGTACTCCTTGCTCATTGACCACTTGCATCTGGTCACTAGACCGTCGCTAACAAAGGTGAGGTCTACTTTCGAGCCCCTTCCTGCCTTACGAAACGTATCTCGCTGCCCATCGTTCAGAAGAGATACTTTCAGCATGGCGAAAGCCTTCAGAAAGCTGCGTCCTCTCGTATATCAGGCCTTACTGCCCCACTCGAAGGACCAAGCATTGAAATCCCCGCAATTAATACGGAAGGGTTCTCCCGGGCATCTGCGACAAGTTCATCTAGCATGTTTTGAAATTCGCTTTGTGTCCAGTTGGAGGAGCGTAGCAACTATAGCAGCATATATATTTAGCTTTCGCCCTGACGAATCCGCTGTGGTGGCAGTCCCCATCCAAGAGTGCTATAGGACCAGGCGCCCAAATTGCTGCTTTTTTGGACGCATCCTGACTTGCCCTGCGATATATTTCACTCAGTAGTACTAGGTCCATCTGTTTCTCACCGACCGTTTGCCGAAAAAGGTCATGAGCTGCCTCGCCGTGATTGAGGTTAATTTGCATGATTCTCATTTGCGTCCTTAGCAGCTAAAGCTCGTTTGAATAACGGGCACTTACTGCTCCCCGCTATGTGTTTAGCGTCAGCATTTGGTACGCCTTTACAAGAAAAGCACAGGGGATCTTTGGAGCACACTTTTGCGATGCGCCAATCCTCTACGCATCGTCGGCAGACCTTTGAGCGGTCGCATATTGCTTTACATTGCTTGGCAATTTGTCCGAATTCCAAGCAGCGGTAACACTTCACCAGTGCTCTGTGCTCCCTTAGTCGGCACACCACCCAGCCTACTCTTAATTTGCCACCAGCTAGCAGCTTGTTGGCTTCCTCTTGCGACAGGCTGATTGTTGCCGTTTGCGTACCGCCGTAGGCCTTTCTCAGGCCAACTATCTCTGCCTTTGCCAGCCCATATTGGCTCTTTATGGCCTCGCAAATGTCCCTCTTTGAGGTGATTTCGTCGACATCCCTGCATTCGACTGTACCGCGTTGCTTCAGGCTTCTTACTAGCGCCTGGTCCCCTAGCAGGGAGCTCACTGCATTCTTCAGCTCTTCCGTTTTCTTTCCGTTTTTGTCCAGTTGCAGCAGTAGGTCGCCTTTCTGTGTCCTCTTGATTTTGTGGACCACTTCATTTAGCTGCTTCAGTTTGGGCTCGCCTTTGACTTTACGCAGCATTTCAGCATAGGAGAGCTTGCCGGTCGCAGCTATAACGATGGTTTCCCTCTACGGATTTGCAGTGTACGGTTCTTTTTTTTCCTGGCCGTCACTTGTTGCCAGCCCTCGCCTGTAGCCCGCGTACTCTGGTCGGTGGGCTTCTGCGCGATCCTCTTGGGCCCACTGGCCACGTTACGACGCTTGGTAGTTGGTGCGTCTATGTCGCCGGGCTGTCTTCTCTTTGAAGCGCTTATCTTCGGTTCGGACTCTGGGGCGTCTTTTTTGCTCACCCCTCCTAAATTACGAGGAGGGGTCGTTTGAGCGGCTTGATCGACCTTGTCGGCCTTGCCACTCGGATCGGCCCTCGTCTGGTCCCTTAGCAGCGCGCACTGCTCGTAGGTCATTCTGATGCCCTCAATGGCATCCCTCATGGCTTGGTGAATGGACCGCCTTTTGCCGTCCTCCAACATTTCCACCAGTGCCTCTATGTGGTGGCCCAGCCTTACAAAGGGCGCCGTGTC